TCAGTCAGTCTGGATAGGCGAACAAGCCTAGTGGCTTATATAAACGCCGTTACAGTACATTGTTCCAATAGCTGGATCAATAATCGAAATAATCTGACAACAAAAGAAAAATACTGAGACAAAATAACAGATAAATGATTGAATAATAAATATGTTCGATATAGTGTTGGTTATGCCTAGCAACGAAATGAGCAGCCGCAGAAAATCAAGTTATATAAAACTTGTCTTACATTGAATATATACGTAGATTTGATAATTACTGGAAGCGGTTACTTTTAGAAATGAACTGGTGTAATGAGTTCAGAATGTCACTAGTAGTTGAGTTATTCAATGCGCCGCTACCGTATAAAGTAGTTTTCACATCGTATCTTTGAATATAAAAATACATCGTTCTTCTTAAATTTCATATTTCCGACATGTAAAAAGGTAGTGAATGACGCCTTCGTTACAATGACCACATGAACACTCCGCTGTTTCCGATACATGTATATGTCGATTATATGTCAGCGTTTAGATCACTACAGCCTAGCTTGAGGCGACAATGGATGATTTGACCAAATCTAGTCCCAAACTTTAGGATCAAAGTAATTGCGAGTCTCTGTTGGGTTTATCATGCTTTTGAATTGACGTTAACAGCTCCATCGGGCAATGAATACTATGACATAATCGCGCTCGGTAAAAACGATTGAGAATATCTTTGCGTTTTACAGTTAATAGTTTGAATGGAAGTATTATTCCTAAGATTATAGTTACTTCGTGGAAATACTCTACCTGGTACAAGTTCGTTCAGATAATCATGTGTCAGACGATGATACATTTTGTAGAAAGTTTAGAGCGATACCGTCTTTCTTTCAGTGTGCTATAATTAGTTTCCTTATATAATTTATCGTGACTGGTGCCACGAACCGCACCGCATATAGTTCTTAATGATTTTCCAGTAAAATCGCCTGTCCAATCGTACAATTATCCCATATATGGCAGCAGTAATCAAAAAGTGGTAAGATAAAGGAGTTATATAAAGTCTTTAGCGTTTTCCGATATAAACGATATTTCAAACTTCTTAGACAATTGATCATTGGACTAATTTTCTTTACCATGTTATCAATATGAACTTTCCGAGAACAATCGCTTTGAAGTGTTATACCTAAGTCTTTATGGTTATCAACTTCATAATAGTTTCGCCATTCATTATTTTTCGTTTTACGAGTGAATGTTATACTTTCAGTCTTACTAGGATGCAGTATAATATAGCTGCCTCTAGAGAGACAGTAGCATTCAATATTTGTCTCTCTCGAACATATATATTATAAAGTATTCACTGTTTGTCCCCAATTGCGTAGACCGATGCTTATGCTTCATCACTGGAGTGCCTGGTCCAGACAGCCGCCATATAGCTGGAATATTGCTGAGCGCGGCGTTGAAGAACCAACCAACCAACCAAATCATTGTTTGTCGAAATTACAGTTGGAGTTACTGAAAGGATGCAGGAGATTGAAGTCTCCAACTTGAAGTTGGATGTTAAATTGAAGCTGCACAAAGCCCAGGCAAATCAAGTCGAGTGAGTGAACAGTTACTAAAGAGTGAGTGAGTGAGTTAATATTTAGCGTCACGTCGGCAATATTTCAGCTATATCGTGACGAGAACAATTTAATTTATATCAATATTAAAATCAATAAACTTAGAACGTAAAAACCTGTCATCGAAGGACAGTAAGAATACAAGAGTATCACAGATATAAATATAAAACTACTAAGCTATCGTAAAATTAAATCACTGACAGTACAAGATGAAAACGGGTCATAGATCACCAACAACTGAATGTAGATCAACATACTAGGTTCGTATTGCTATGGGACAACATTTGGCAATGTAAATACCTGTCGACAAATTACAAGAAAATAACCAGAGTATCACAGATTTAGATTTAAAACTAGCATATTACCATAAAACGATAGTTGTACACAGTAATACAATACCATAATGGGCTATAGATCGCCAACAACTGAAGGTAGATCGCTCAATAGAGACCATGGGAACCTACATAACATTTTCTACCTGCATGCACTCTAGTTGGATTTACGCCGTCCCTCCAGATCTTGGCAATTTCCCCAAATTAGCCATGAAATACATGAACACATATTCCACGATTAAAACATGGTCCGAATAAATATACTGTGACTGACTTGGTCTTACGTGACCAGGGGAAATATCGTTTTACACTACTTTGAATGTACAGAAACAAAATCGTCAGTTATCAAATTATTCAAACAATCATAAAAATCATGTATTTACAGAACATATTATGAAAATTCAAAGCGAATGGAACATATGGACAGAGTCACCAACATATGTTCAACACATTTAGTAGACGCACCACTGCACAGCCAATATCAATACTATATATTGGAATATGCCGTTGTTTAGCGCAAGCCAAACGGGATACCGTGCAGTGGTTTACAATCGACACTCTTCTCATACACAATATACGGAACCCAAGTAGACCATGCCTTTGTTGCCAATAACGGGCACAACAAACACCTTCTTCATGAAACCCGTGACGATCCGGGTTAGAATTTGTCTTCAGTAACCCATGCTTGTCGTAAGAGGCGACTAACGGGCACGGGTGGTCGGGCTCGCTGACTTGGTGGACAAAAATGTCATCGTATCAAAATTGCGTTGGTCGATGCTCATGATGTTGATCTCTGGATTGCCTGGTAGAGATTATTAAATGACAGCCGCCATATAGTTGGAATACTGCTGAATGCGGCGTTAGACAACAAACTAACCAACCAACCAACCTTCTTCGTGAACCATCGTCCACATGATGTTGTAATGCGGCCAGGTCACACAATCTGTTGATGAATCCATAGTGGAGATTCAACCCACTTTCCTACCTAACGAAATAGCGTGCCCAGCTGTACATGTCATGCGAGTGAAAGCATGATGCAATTTGTGGGAGCAAAATTAGAAAATATATACACAGAGAACTTTTACCATTCATCCAATGCACCCATGACATACGTTAAATGTCTTCTTTTTGCATGTTAACATTCTCGTCTCATTTACTTAAACGATACATTATTTGTGCAAGAATGACCAAAATATATGATTTCCCAAATGTGCATTGAAGGTCACTAGGGTTTTCATTTAAATATTTCAAGTCATAGTTAAAAAACTGTTTTCAGTGATTACATGATCTAAAATGCAAAAATGTAAGACTTTCATCCGAAATGCTTATTGTCAGACAACGGAATGGTACTGAAGGTTTAAAATAAACAATATGAACACAGTAATATTAATGAACATAGTGTTTAATGTGTAATCATTGCAGAATTTATAGTGTAAGTGATGTTTTCAGCATCATTTTGCTAAAACGTCTATTTATCACGCCACCTGAGTCTGACGATGACAGTGGTGAGGATGATTGGAGACAATTCACAACTTGACAGGTTGAATTTTAATGCATGACTGACTTGATAAAATGGTTGAATTTTAATGCATGACTGACTTGATAAAATCTGCCGAGAGCTGTCTATGATTGAATTGATGATAATGTATATACACCCTAAGAGTATGAATCTACCAGGAAGATGTCACTTTTTTAAAGCAATATACTCTATGAAACCTGGGGACCTTCGCCCCAATATATGAGTGCGGAAACATATTTTGGCGCGGTAATATATTATACAAACACTTTGAAAATAACAATCAAAAGAGTTCATAATAACCAAGTCTCCAAACTAATATTTAAAATATGTAAGCGATCTCTATATGTTTGGGATTAATGGGTTAAGCCTTTCTTTTCCAGTACATATCTTTTTCACTTCATGACTTGAAATGATCCATGACAACCGTGCCCTTCAGACTTTAATGATTATCACAACGAAATCACGCGACATGCTGACGCTCATCGGGAATGGATGACAGCTGGCTTGGTAATGTTCCTATTGGGCAAGGTCACCAGCTACTGTCAATATTTACAGATTGATGTTGTATTGTTGACGTTCCTCACCGGACGGAGACGTCGACAATGCCACACATGCTGCAATTGGGACATGGGCGGCAGTTGGCATGGTTGCATTCATCTGGGCGTGTTCACCCACTACTGTTAGTCTGTTTATACGATTACAAGGTTTTCCGGACAAAATCTTTTTCTATAAATGCATTTTACATGTCTGCCAGTGTCAACAGCAACTTCTGTGCGTGTATTGAATAGCTCGTAGTGATTACATGTAACTTGACATTTCCCGCTGTAAGGTACGACTTGTACAGAGAAAAGTTGATATTGGCCACATACTTTGTTTTACCTGCTTATGAAAGCATTGGGAATTGCCTACAATCCATGTTAAGTGACTGACTATGACATATATCTATTAACCTTTCTCATAGGTTCACAAATGTGTTAGACCCGTACATGGGTTAGATTTGGTCTTCAGTAACCCATGAAGGAGCGAACTGGAACGATTCAGATTCACTGACATGTTTGATGCATACCAACGTATACTACTTGCAAAGGTCGATGCACGTAGTGCCATGTACCTGCTCGTAGAGATCGGAAATGAAATACATTTCAAATAGATCATACGCAAACATGTCTATCTCATAGAATGACATGACAAAGATCATTTCTTTGTGAATGGCGGACGCCTTTACATCAAAACTGTACATCCTATGGCGCCTATTGTGAACATTCATTATATAATTAAGCTTACGGTTAGTCATTGACATCATGGCCAGTATCTAACTGTGCGTCCTCTAAGATGGATTTAGTCGTGTTTGACATGCAATTGTGTCTGAATAAGTGCATGTATCGTGACTGCAATGATGTAAGAACATAAGCTTGTGTGAATTTCCGCGGCCAATGGAAGGGAGCAGATTCTTAAATACCACGTTGGTGGTTGAAGGAATCGGCTTTTGTTTGTAGTGAAACGAAAAGAATTGTTAAACAGTCGCGTGTACAACGCTTCCAGAAAGATACATGATGACTCGTGACACACACGTTACGCCTTTCTTTTCCAATGACATATTTTATTTCACTTAATGATTTGATATGATCTTGACCGCGCCTTTCAGACGGCAATGATCGATTGTTCCGATATATTAATATGGGAACTTTTCATTGAGCGTTTCCTCATACAATCTATCAAACCGCTCGCTCTGTGCCACAGTGAACCATTTCTTCCATTCTCCAGACTGACCTGTAAAACATAAACATTATCCTGACTAGAGTCCTATTTGTAAATTGCTGATACGTGTACAAGGTAAACGATTTATCGTAATTGTAAAAACAAACAAAAACCCTCCAGGCGTGTGGAATCAAACATAATAGGCAATGAGCCAGCCAATTTTTCGGTACCACTCAGAAGGACCAAACACTTTTATGTTTTTTGAAGTTGTTATGGTCTCTACAAATAAAAAAAGTATGATGGCCATGTCGGTTTGGTTGCTCAAACTCAGAACGAGACTAAATCCAAAATGGCCGCCAACACACCCCATGCATTTTCAAAAAACGTCATTCCAAACTTTAATTGTGAGTAAAGTTCAGCAAATAGGTTTGAAATTAAAATAGGGAGGTACAAATAGTGCTAACATGATTAAAAGGATTTAATTAATATCAAGTTGTGTTATTAGATGCCTTTAAATCATAGTTTTCCTGATTTTTAAGAGTCGAAATTGTAAGCTGAAAGAACATTTTCGAAAACTCATCATTTCATTTATTCTGAAGACAGTTCTTTAACTTCAAATAGTGAGAACACCTTCAGGTTCCTTAAATTGGTTTGTGATAGTCACTGTTTCGCATCATAAACGTCAGCTTCATCATCAGTGTCACTCTTAGGCATGTCATGGTCCATGCATACCATGTTGGCAGTTTACAGCATGTTGTGTACTTGCAAGAAATAAACTCAAGAACAGCATCTGGAGCAAGAGGTCTTGTCATCCAACAAATCTATATCTCATCATTTTGTCCCACCCATCAATGACCATCTGTTGCCCGTGAACTTGGATATTCAGCTTCCAGACAGTTGTTCCATATTGCAGGTTGATAGTTTGCTTTACAGTTTCCTGCTTTATGGTGAGAAAATGGGCAATTGAATCAGGACAATTGCCACCATGCTTTGATTGTCTATCTGTGCACATCCTGAGAGCAAATCGAGAATCAAGCTGTCAAAACTATATCTGACCCAACTCACTACTTATATTCGGAATACAACCTCCTCCCTTCAGGCCGCCGCTACAAAGTTCCAACTGTGAATACTACGAGAGCCTGTAATCCTTTATTCCAAGTACCGTATCTCTTTTAAACAAATGTGAAGATACCTACATGTAAATCAATGAATTTATGTAAATATGTTTTGCATCTCTCTGATGTGTCACTAGCTCTGCTGATATAACACAAATTCCTGAAAAGGCATTAAAGTATTATTCTATTCTATTCTATTCACACTATAAAGCTGCAATATGGAACAACTGTCTGGAAGCTGAATATCCAACTTCACGGGCAACAGATGGTCATTGATGGGTGGAACAAAATGATCAGATAGAGATTTGTTGGATGACAAGACCTCTTGCTCAGGATGCTGTTCTTAGTTCATTTTTTGCAAGTACACAACATGCTGTAAACTGCTAAGTTGTCAATGCCTTACCAATGGACTGAAATGCACTGTGACATGTCAGAACCAGACTTGTGACAACATGGTACGCATGGACCATGACATGCCGAAGAGTGACATTGATGATGAGTGAGTGAGTTTAGTTTTACGCCGCACTCAGCAATATTTCAGCTATAGGGCGGCGGTCTGTAAATAATCGAGTCTGGACCAGGCAATCCAGTGATCAACGGCATGAGCATTGATCTGCGCAATTGGGAACCGATGACATGTGTCAACCAAGTCAGCGAGCCTGACCACCCGATCCCGTTAGTCGTCTCTTACGACAAGCATAGTCACTTTTTGTGGCGAGCATGGGTTGCTGAAAACCTATTCTACCCCGGATCTTCACGGGTCCACTGATGACGAAGCTGACGTTTATGATGCGAAACAGTGACTATCGCAAACAAATTTAAGGAACCTGAAGGTGCTCTCACTATTTGTAGTGAAAGAACAGTCTCCAGAATAAATGAAATGATGAGTTTTCGAAAATGTTCTTTCAGCTTACAATTTCGACTCTTAAAAATCAGGAAAAACTATGATTTAAAGGCATCTAATAACACAACTTGATATTAATTAAATCCTTTTAATCATGTTAGCACTATTTGTACCTCCCTATTTTAATTTCAAACCTATTTGCTGAACTTTACTCACAATTAAAGTTTGGAATGACGTTTTTTGAAAATGCATGGGGTGTGTTGGCGGCCATTTTGGATTTAGCCTCGTTCTGAGTTTGAGCTACCAAACCGACATGGCCATCATACTTTTTATTTGTAGAGACATAAAGGAATATAAAAAACATTAAAACTTTTGGTCCCTCTGAGTGGTACCAATATGTGAATTTTCAGCTCCTGGCTCACGGCCTATAAATAATGCAGTGTGTACAGGGCACATGACATTATAGACTATACATTCAAAGGTTCCAAAACAAAATTTTGCAATCCAAATAGAAATACAAACACTTGTAAATACATTTTCCTTGTTTGATTCTATTTGCATTCATTTTGGGATTCCTTTATTTTTGGTGAGGAATTAAAAATCGTTTGATACAGCTTCATTGGGCAGAAGTACCTGAAATCATCCAGAAAAAAAATACTATTGTTGTATTGTGCATCGAAATATACAGAATATCTTATGATATGAATATCATACTGGTAAATCGAAATATGTTCATTTTGTTAATATGCATTTTGAGTTACCTTTTCTAAAATACCCGCTTGATCCTTGATTCCAGTTATTGTGATAGGTTTGATCTTTAATCTTTTCACTGGCCTGCTTGAGATTCTCAAACCCACAAGCCTCGGCAATTTGACGGTACGTCTCCTCCGACAGGGGTCGTTCAAGGTACTCTGCTAGTCGCTTGACTATTGAAACACTGTCCTGAAGAATACACGTATTTTGTATAAATGTAATCCTAAACTATGTTTGTTATTGACAGAATGGCCTCGCAATACCAAACAAACTATGTAGCATACACGTTTATAAATCAGTAGGGCCGTCAGTCACCAAGATTCAATATAGATAACAATGTACACCTTCAACTGAGTGTAGAACTGACATTGCAAAGAGCACAGTTCTCTTCCTGGTGTGTGGAAATTGCAGGGCGTTTGAGTTGCATTACCAGGGTCTGATATATCACAAAGTTGTGGGATAATAGTTTTCTGCAATCACTATAAAACACCATCCGATCAACATAGTTTAAACCAAAAGTATTTAACATTTGGAAAAGGCAATATAACCCCCCCGTATTAGAACAGAATCACCAAATGTCGAATGCTGGTACCTCCAGTCCCAAATCGTCGTTCATGTTAAAGGCCGTAGGTGTGAACTTAGTGAGTGAGTGAGTTTACTTTAAGTAACGTCGGCATATTGGAGGCAAAATGAAAAACGAAATACTCTTCTTGTGCAAACGGTTCAAGACTTGTTTTAGTATAGTTTGATATTCTTGATAAAAGCAAACGTCTCATACTTTCACATTAACATATTGTTATAGATATTCAGATAACATTAACGAAATGAATATCAAAAACATGATTTGGAAGGGTGAAGCTACTTCTTCCCATACCTCTGTAGTACTGTAACATAACGCTCTGTTTAATAAAAGTGCCCGTATTCTCACCTGCTTCAATTCCTCAAACTGAACGCGGCAGACATCAATATCTGTTACATTTCTCCACTGACGCTCGTGTTCAAGAATAGACCCAAAAGGCGCTGAAATAGGAAGTAGGATGTGAATTTTGTACAGATGACTGTCTCAGTATACCAAAAGGAAGAGAAAGACATAGAATAGCAAGTAAAATTATGCCATAAAACGAATATAATCAAGACAATAACTTACAAACGTAAACAATCACAATCGCGATGGCTTGAGGAAAACGGGTAAAGAAAAGGCTTTGTTTAAAACATCACGTTTGCAATCTGTGGTTAAGACGAAAGCCTGTCAAGGGATCACAAGCTGTCATTGCCTCTCAGTTGATGTCTCCGGCGCCTCCGTATGCAACAAATAGAAGCGATCAAACCCTTTCCACATCAATAAGAACTCTCTGCCAAAAGCAGGGTGGATCGTACAAATAATGTGACTATATCATGAGTACATATTGGTTTCAAGAGCATAACAGCTTTACGATGTTGTTTGTAAACAAATCGAGTCTCGACTAGACAATCCAGTGATTGTCACCATGCGATACGATGGGAGAGCATGTGTTTATGAATCACTAAGAAATAGTGATGATACCAGGTGTTCGAGAAAAGGTGAGCGTCTCCTGCCCACCGGTGGCACCCGACATAAACATATGGTAAATCTGGTCAATTGTTCACATACAATAATTCGGGAACGTATGGCATAAGTCAAAATAGGCTACCCCACTCCACCCGTGTGGATCCAGGATCGGGTAGTCAATCTCGCTTTATTGGTTGATGCATGTCACCGAATCCCATTTGCTCATGATGTCGATCACTGGATTGTCTGGTGCAGATTCGATCATTTACAGACCGCAGTCATAGAGCTGGAATATTGCTGAGTATGGCGTTAACCAACAAACAAACAAATACCATAACGATAGCAATACCAACCACAACCGTCTTGATACAGAATGACAAATTCGTCCCATGTCCCCGTGAAGGTAAACTTCCCTGCTGGATTGTCTTTCCACACCTGTTTGCTCGCCTGAGAAAACGTCGACACGGCAGCGTCTTTGGGATTTCTATTTACGTAGATCACCTTGCTCTTGAATTTCCATATATCCTTTGGCAACTGGCTGTTAAACGGATATGAAAACAGGATTAATACAACGAAATTATATATAACACGTCCAGTGCGTCGTAGCCTCGCGGACCGCCTCCGTGGTGTAGTGGTTAGAGCGTCCGCCCGGAGAGGGGAAGGTCGCGGGTTCGATCCCCGACCGCGTCATACCAAAATACGTTAAAATATGGTACTTGTTGCTTCCTGCCTGGCGCTCGGCATTAATTGGTACAACAAGGACTGGTCGGCTCGGAGTCAGTATAATGTGTCAGAGTGGGGTATTCATGCTTCACTGCGGCATGGTATCTCTGTGGGCTAGCACTATAAAACCAGCTTATGTCTGGGCTAGTACAAGCAGCCGCACATACACATACACACGCATGCACGTCGTCATATGAGCGAAATATTCTCAAGCACGACGTTAAACCCAATTTCACCTCACCTCACCTAGCCTCGCGTATAGTGAGATGAGGATAGCTTGCACAGAATTTGTTTTGTTTGCGCGAGAACGCTTGGTATTGGTTGAGAGTATTTATTTGGAAGAACAGCACGCAATCGTTTGAGAGAGTGAGTGAGTGAGTTTAGTTTTACCCCGCACTCAGCAATATTCCAGCTTATGGCGGCGGTCTATAAATAATCGAGTCTGGACCCAGACAATCCAGTGATCAGCAACATAAACATCGATCTACGCTATTGGGATACGACGACATGTGGCAACCATGTATGTGCACTCGTTGACCGTAGAATTAATCCATCTCACGTCACGGTCATAAGTGATGCCTCTCTGCCTCCTGTTACCAGTCAAAACGCCATTAAAAAGTCTTGATCCGAGGAAAAGACAAATGCCAAGCACCGTTTAATATGAAGGCCAGGTGTTATATATACTTGAACAGTAGCATATATTATCACAAAACGGTTGCGTCTAGTTTCAGTAAGAGGCGATGTTTGTGGATTTCCCGGGATCAATTCCAAAAATTGGGTTAGATTGCCAATCCCAAGACACATCAAAGAGAAGACACTTACTCCTCCTAACTCTGATAGCATAAATTAAAATGCATCCGTCCTTCCGAAGCAATATTGTGGCTAACACAAGATGACGTATGTCAATCTTCACCTTCCCATCTCGGTGAAAGCGACAAAGCAACACGCACATGCACGCACTGGACATGTCGATTGAGTAAGTATACTCAGCAGCAAAAACACGTCATTACGAAATCAAAATTAGATAGGCACTGTAATCAAATCATTACAGAAGTGGACATAATAAGCGGATCAAAAACATTTTTTGTGTACAATAGCTTGACACATCAATAAATTATGCCAAGACATTACGTGAACGTTCGGACTCATGACGTCAGTATCTAGTGTGACTACCACGAGCGGCGATAACTGCAGCACACCGTTTATGCATGGAGTGCACCAATTGATTGATGAAGGCCATTGGCACCTTGAACCACACTCTGGGAAAGGCCTGACGCAATACATTGGCTGTGTTCGGCCTTGGTATGACATTATTCAGTCTCCTATGAATTTCATCCCAAAGATCTTCAACCGGGTTTTAATCAGGACTAAGTGCTGGCCACTGCATAATGTTGACACCGTTCTGCTGTAGGAAGTCCCGTGTAGCTCTGGCAGTATGGGCCCTGGCGTTATCATGCTGGAACATATTCCGGTGACGTGCAAAATGTGGTATGAGCTTAGTCGGTGTAGCGCACCACTGTGATGCCGCTTCCTCTCCCTGGACCAAGGTTCTGGAACACCAAAGGACCTACTCTCTGGTTCAGGCCTATTCCACCCCATGCCATGATGCTTGCACCTTCCCATGAGTCTCTTTCGACAACACATTGGTCTGAGTAACGCTGGCCACGTCGTCGCCATATTCCTGTTCTGCCATCTGCAGTTGATACGCAGTACCGACTCTCATCTGTGAACAGAACAGTTCTACATCGCCTGTATCGCCAGTTTTGGTGTTGTAGGGCAAACTGTAGACGTTCACGCCGATGGCGAGGTTTGAGGATAGGTCCACGGTAAGGTCTACGGCAATGGAGGTTCCCGCTCTTAAGACGTCGGCGTACTGTATGAGTACTGATTGGTCTTCCGTGTGTTCCCACTGTCTGGCGTGCTGTTTCGGATGCCTGCATGAAAGGATTCTGTAGATGCTGTGGCACAACATGGCGATCTTGTGGTCTTGTGGTGACCCTTGGTGTGCCAGTACGGGGGCGATTATTTGTGGTGTTGGTGCAGCCTGTAGATGGTCCGAACTTTGACCTGGAAGTCATTGGCAACGGCTTGTGTAGTGTGGCCAGCTTCAAGTCTTCCTATCGCCTCGTTCCTCTGAGCTGTCGTGAGTCGCGGCATCCTGATGACGTTGTAATGAGAATGTTTCAACCAGGTTTGGTGGGGGGGCAGGGCATTTTATGGGGTTGGTCCTTGTGAACAGCACGTGCAGCATGAGTTGCATGAAAACCATGGAGAACACCGTACCATCTCCGAGAACAGATTGCATTTTTGAGACCATTTCCTGGGTTCCTGAGTTTGGGAAGGACTATAATTGCTCAGGTTAAGTTGGAGATGTTGTCAAAAATATACAACCAAACATTAAATGAGTTTACAGTTATCCGTTTCTGCGAAGGAAAATTCCAGACTGACGTTTCTTTTGCTGCTCAGTATATATTATTAGCTGTTCCTACCCAGGACGACGCTGAGTGTGGATTATCCTTGGAGACGGAAGTGCATCTATTTCCTGTTCTGTCCGACAGTCCAACCAGGAAACGTTCTGCCAATGTTTAGCGTAAGTTGGTTTCCCTGCCACGATCATGTTAACTATCTCCCACACCCAGTGGGTACCTACAAAAGGAACAAACATGAACTCAGTTTGACTTCCTTCTCTTCTTTGGAACAGGAAATACTTTCAACGAAATATGAAAGCGTTTCACATCAGGTGCAAGCTCCTGTTCAGATGAATAATTATAGATTGATTTATAATATTTTTATGTAAGATTTAAATGATATCCATGACATACACACTGCCGTACGTACAGATTACACACACCGATCGATTAGACACTGAGAACAAGTGTAAAACAGGAGAAATAGTTCGCGGATATATTTTCCATAGGTAGTATTGGCACTGGCATAACTATTTCTGGAACGTTCGTCTTAACTGTAAGTATTATACAATTAACATATAAATAATTCATACTTGTATATTCGTCTAAAAATATGAAATATGAGTTAAAACGTATTTGATCTGAACATTGAAATGAACGATAGTGGTAAAAACTTCAAACGTCCTGAAAGACAACACATAATTGTGTCCTGTTGTTTCAGTAGGCCAAAACTAAATACATGTAGATTGCACAGATCTATACTGAAATTTTGTCGCCGTACCATGATATTCCAAAGGATCAGACTTCGGGAATTTACACCAATGGATCTGATCTGACTATGGGAATGTACAGATGTACATGTCGTCTATATGTTGGCAACGTTAGGGTTGAATGTGTAGCGTGTGTTATCTATATACACTGAAGTTAAATTCATGTCAATGGATCTGACCTGACTTTGGGAATGTACAGATGAAGATGTCATCTTCACGGACGTGACGAGTCCTCATAGTCTTCATGTTGTCCAAGAGTGTCGCTGCCTCCACTGCACCATCTACCATCACCAGGTCTATGTTCCACCCAGAGGCCATCGCTTTCTCTGCCGGAGTTGCCATCACGAACACACACTATCTACCACAGCAAAAGACTTCACTGATTTATATTTTCAGTCAGCTGGACCATTATCACATATGAAAAATAAAGACACACTAGCTATGCGCGAATAAAAATATGCTAGCCCATAGGCAAGGTATTTTCAGAAAAACACGCGTGGGCCACTGTTCGCCCAGATTTAACATTTTGATTTTTTGGGTGTTTTGATCCTTAGTTTGTATCTATGGTACATTTTCCCAAATCCTTTGTCTGAAACTGGCCACAGTTCGGATATTTTCTTTGCAGTTTGGTTTCCAGAATTATTGTGTGACATGTTCAGTCATTCTTATCACTGCAAAATACTGCATTTTATGTGTTGGCATTAACATTCGTGATGTGTTCACCTGGGTTTCATTTCCTTCATGGCAACCTGTTGATGTAGCTGTCTGTGATATTGCTGGAAATCACACTCACCCATTTCATCATGACCGGACACTCTAGATACATAATGAAATTAAAACACATAAGCCTTTATCCATCCATCCATCCATCCATCCATCCATCCATCCATACCAATCCATCCATCCATTCATCCATTCATCACCATTCATCCTTCTACAATCAAAGACAGATTTAGTGCTTGCTCGAGTAAAACGTTAAAGGCAAAGATCATCGAGCTTGAAAGGCACAACAGCTGTTGGAAGAATATTAATAACTGAAAATCACTAATGTTTGGCACAAGTTTTAATCTTATCAAACACGTCAGTCATTGTCAACAAAAGATTCAATATCTCGCCATCTGTTTCACTACCACGTCGATCTCAGCTTCCTAATTATGACAATTATCGATAAAATATTGGAACAAAACATTTGGGGGATACTCAACTACACGTACATGCAGTACGGTTATTGTGAGATCGCGCCAATGAGTTAATTGATCCAATGCTGAGATCATTCAAGAGCGTTTAAAGCTCAGAGACCCTCAACCATGTTGGCCCAATTGACTTCATTAGTTAAATCATTCGATTAACTACTTCAGATGTCGAATGTTTAATTGCTTGTCCTGGTATGTTTGTGTATACATTGAAAATGGAAGGGGACGTTTCACAATTGATCTCAAGTTGGATGAAAAATATGTTTGATTTGGGGTTTGGGAGTGTTTTTATGTTATACATTTTATGTAATGAATGTGGAAAAGGGTTTTGCCGTTTCTATTTTCACATATTATTCCAACAAATGTGATACCTTTCCTAAAACATTTATATAATGCGTTGATAATAGATTGTAGGCTGTATGTTCCCGTTAAAAACACAAGGACAAACCTTAAAAACGGAACACAACTGCATTAGTGGAATCGAACTGCGTCAGTTGTTAATGTTACAAGTACAAAACAAGCGTGTAACAAATACAAGTGTGTAACAAGTACAAAATATAAAAATTGTAAAATGTTCTGGAAAAGCAATCTATTTTAATATGTCTTGTCTTATGTTGCTGTTTGGAATCAATTCAAAACACCTTAAACAATAGTGAAAAGGTTTACATTTTCACAAGTCCATGATTTATTTATAGTCACCACTGGGTCATGGGTCAAAAGTAGTTCCTATGCAAATTAGCCAAGTCTTAATGAGGTCAGGTCTGCTGGCTTGTCCTTGGTTTTTATTGGCTGAAGATGTGCAGCATCTTGATTGGATGTTGAATTTAGTTGCATTTAGAAAGTGTGAAGTTTGTTCACTTGCTGTCTTTCTCCCAACCTGGCAAGGTGGTTTGAAAGTCATGGATGGAGGATTTTGACTTTGGTGAATTACAGGTCCTTGGTGTTTTGTTGGTGCCTCACAACATGTGGCCAGTTTGAAACAAGTTGTCCCATAGATGACTTGTATTATTTATACAAACTACCGTAATAAATCCGGATTACAGCCTCAACGGAGTTGGGTTGTTGAGTCAGAGCCATCCCCTTTACATTAATATGCCCTCTTAATGAGTTCTACATACACAGTTTTTTTTACACAGAGAATAATGTCAAGGTCCCAGCTTCTAAGAGGGTATAGTTCAGCATAATATTGTTTCTTTAACATATCTAAGAGGCAAATACTAATCTGTTGGCGAACACCTGGTGTCTGCACTGATTTTCAATTATCCTTATATTGCTTTTATTGCAATTGCGTCTTTCAAACTCAATGAAATCAGTTTCGTTGGAAAATTGAGACTAGTCATATTCTAACATTTTATAGCGTTATATTTGTTGGTAAGGATTTGTATGTCTGCAATGTGTGTTTTGTTTGCAATGACTATTTTATAATAACCTGGCTATATCTATCAAGAAGGGGGACAGTTGATGAGGTTTTAAGGATTCATAAGACAAACGCTAAAATGAGTTTCCTGAAAAAAAGAAAATTGAATTTTTCTAAATTCCTTAAAATAACACGATTGTATTTATATAGCCTGTATGACCGCCATATAACGAAAGTATGAATGTGTTCATTGGGCGAGAAATTTGATAACATGCAATGTAAGGTGTTGATAGTCTCCACAAAAAAAGTAAAAAAATGTTAACCAGAAACGACGTAGCACAATTTGGTTGGGCTACCTCCCAACTTTCTTATGCTCCTATTCCTAGATGCATAGTGATGAACAACGCAACACACATCCGAGTGACATTCCATCCGACGTCCATCATTGCAGCCAAAATGAAACCTGGATTACTATGTGCAGTGTACTAGCTTCCTAGCATCGGATGTTGGACTATGCCAGGTGTGCATGTTGGCTAATCGTAATTGATTCTTCTCAGTCGCTCCACTAACAGGGCATATGCCGCGGTCTGTCAAGGCCAGTCAAGGCTGACACAACTTTACTAGTTGACGTCCAGAATGTCACCTTTCCGTGTTGACATTGTTGACACTGACTCCGGGGCGAGTATTTTGTTATAATAAACAGCAAAGCGCCAAACAAAAACCAAATGCTTGTAAAGAAGTTGCTTTACACAGTGGAATTGTTTGACTTGACTCGGTCCAAACTATGATGTGAGTGTGCCAATCTTCTACTCTTGGGACTTTCTTAAATATCCGGAATACACGTGCACAGATTATTCAGACGTTGGTTTTGAACTCCATGATTACAGTTTCAGGAAAAAGGTACAAGAAATCCAAATATTGCCTTTGCAGCAGTGCTTGGAGTCATCCCACAGATCGCAACCTTACCGTTCTGCTTGCTGACCCCTTTGGTCATGTAGACAAATCGTTCGACTCTGGAATTGTTGTTGGTAATTCCATCACCGGACTGAGCACGTTTATATAATGAATATGAGCAAAATCTGTTCTGAACCCTTGGCCTCGGACTTGTCTCTCGACAGGGAAGTATCGGTCGGGAATGGAGACATTGTCCAGAAGACATCCTTGCTTTGTGCGCCTGCAGACGGGTTTAACGTCGTTGGTCATGACTGGTCGTGATTTAGAAGGTGCATTTGGATTCCACTGCCTGACGCGGCCCTTTTACGGCGCATCACCTTCATAGTAGGGAATTTGCTAACGATGGCAAGAATTCCAATCCCAATCACAACACGGCGACCACCTGACGTGACCAAGGAGTATCACTGTAAGTGAAGCTTTTAATGTTCGCGTTGTTTTAAGTTTTGTTTTACTTCCATGCGTTTGTATCTTCAAATCCGGAGACATTCAAATAGGAATAAGCGACAAATTCACATCATACGTCCATTCGGAATAAGATCCTGTTTGAAAGTCCAAGACATACTGACGTTGTTCACACACAGGTAAACAGGCCGTGGTACCATCTTCTTGACGTGAGAGCATATATCTTGTAAAATGTTTATACCCATTTGTATTGTAGTTTTCTAAATGCCCAACTGCATTTGTGAAACCCTAAACAGTTAGGTTATTACTAGCCACTACAAGCATGCCTTACCTAGAAGATCAGCTCCTCTGTTCCCACAAGATAATTGGTCATGAATGGACAAGAGGCCTACACTGTACTTTTAAAGGCAGCATGATTGAGCATTATGGAAATTATGACAACATGACTAATCATAAACTTACAGACGGAATCTCAGTGTGCAGAGTGAGTAAGCAATACGGAACTGATTCAGCATAAAAAGTGAATAATAATTTCGAGGTACTGAATACAGTGTGCAATTTGAGGTGTGTCAGCATGAATGTCGCCACATGGTTCAGCCGCGATAAGATGTATTGTCAGATATGAATATCTTCTACTAGTTCAACTGAGGTATGAATTATCTTCCTATCTTTCGTGACGGTCACATATAGTTATTTTATGTGGCCCATAAAACAGTCTTCGGATGTGTCGACTTTGGTAATGTGATCAAGGGAATTTGCTGCTTGCTATTGCTGTAATATTACTATAGGCGCCGCAAAACCATACTCACTCAGTCTTTAATAAGCAGCTCAAGTCTTTCACTACTTTCACACAAAACGTCTTGAACGATCAAATCGATAATTTCACAGGAACTAAAAGTGATAATCCGACCTATATCAGGGATTCAGGAAGTTCCAGTATTCAACGTGATCGTAATATTGGGAAAATCGTCAAGTAGCAATGTTCGATATTTTTGCAAACGTTAACTCCCGACCGACTGGACATTGCATGACCACTTACGTGAGTCGATGACTCTCTGTTGTACAACAAGCAGAGACTAATGTGAGTCGATGGCCCTCTGTTGTACAACAAGCAGACACTTACGTGAGTCGATGACTCTCTGTTGTACAACAGGCAGACACTTACGTGAGTCGATGACTCTCTGTTGTACAACAATCAGACACTTACGTGAGTCGATGACTCTCTTGTACAACAAGCAGACACTTACGTGAGTCGATGAATCTCTGTTGTACAACACGCAGACACTTACGTGCGTCGATGACTATCTGTTGTACAACAAGCAGACACTTACGTGAGTCGATGACTCTGTTGAACAACAAGCAGACACTTACGTGAGACGATTACTCTCTGTTGTAGAACACAGAGACACTTACGTGAGTCGATGACTCTCTGTTGTACAACAAGCACTTGCGTGAGACGATTACTCTCTGTTGTAGAACACAGAGACACTTACGTGAGTCGATGACTCTCTGTTGTACAACAAGCAGACACTTACGTGAGTCGACGACTCTCTGTTGTACAACAAACAGACACTTACGTGCGTCGATGACTATCTGTTGTACTAATAGCAGACACTAACGTGAGTCGATGACTCTGTTGAACAACAAGCAGACACTTACGTGAGTCGACTACTCTCTGTTGTAGAACACAGAGACACTTACATTAGTCGATGACTCTCTGTTGTACAACAAGCAGACACTTACATGAGTCGATGACTCTCTGTTGTACTACAAGCAGACACTTACGTGAGTCGATGACTCTCTGTTGTACAACAAGCAGACACTTACGTGAGTCGATGACTCTGTTGTACAACAAGCAGACACTTACGTGCGTCGATGACTCTATTGTACAACAAGCAGACACTTACGTGAGTCGATGACTCTCTGTTGTACAACAAGCAGACATTTACGTGAGTCGATGACTCTCTGTTGTACAACAAGCAGACACTTACGTGAGTCGATGACTCTGTTGTACAACAAGCAGACACTTACGTGAGTCGATGACTCTCTGTTGTACAACAAGCAGACACTTACGTGAGTCGATGGACTCTCTGTTGTACAACAAGCAGACACTTACGTGAGTCGATGACTCTCTGTTCTACAAATAGTGGACACTTGTGTGCGTCATGGACTCTCTTCTAGTGGACACATGTTTGCGTCATTGAGTCCCTGTTGCATAACTAGTGGACACTTATTTGCGTCATGGAGTCTCTGTTGTACAACTAGTGGACACGTATTTGCTTCATGGATTCTCTGTTGTACAACTAGTGGACGCGTATTTGCGTCATGGAGTCTCTGTTGTACAACTAGTGGACACGTATTTGCGTCATGGAGTCTCTGTTGTACAACTAGTGGACACTTATTTGCGTCATGGAGTCTCTGTTGTACAAATTGTGGACACTTATTTGCGTCATGGAGTCTCTGTTATACAACTAGTGGACGCATATGAGGTTGCAAACTAATGGACACTTCTGGGTGAAATGCCGAGATAAATGATTTAAGGAGCTCTGACACCAGAGGCACATATGCTACTGTCACACTTTTCTACTACCTGTACAACAATAATGTCCATCTCAGTTCGACAATACAATAGTGTACATGACAATCCAACTACACATGTGTACTACAGCCAGGCGAGTGAATAGCACTCTGCAAATCAGTTGTAACAGAGAGTAAGTAACAACAGTGTTGTAATTCTCCCTTGACTAGCTAGAAGAGGAATGCTTCAATTCAGTTAATACTGTGTATTCTCACATATATACTGCCTAGCCTGTTTGCCGTAACTGCAGAAATGTGGGTCACTGAGTTACTTGTTCAAATACGCCTTGGACACTACACCACTAAATGTCCTTCTTTCCGACAGTCTGGTACTTATTCACACTGAAACAATCAATACTTACGTTTCGTACTATCGTTCCTTTCCAAGAGGACAGATAAAGACCGGAGAGGTTATGGATTTAATCACGTGACGGAGAGAAGCAGGTTTACCCGACTGTTGACATGACCTAGACACTGATCTGCCTGTGTCAGTGGGACAGGGGTAAACAGATTACATTACTGTGGGACTGCTAGCTTAGAGAAACATCATCACAGTTGGCTATACATGTGTACTACAACCAGGTACGTGTATAGCGCTACACTCTGCAAATCAGATGAAACAGAGAGTTAGTAACCAACTGTATATCGTACTTACCCCTTCACAAGCTAGGCGAGGAATGCTACATAGAGAAAACTAAACGATGTCCCGTGTAATACCATATTTATGAGAAGACTGTATGGTTTGGTATCTAACGAGCGACATACGTGGGCATTGTCCATTGTACTTGGAGCAGTACGTGTATTAATGATGCATTCACGAGAGAGGGAACAGTTATTTGCAATTATTTTTCCTTTGAATCTTATATGCCCACCTGCAGTGTAACACCTAATTGCCTGTTAGTGTTCATATTTCAAAACTGGCCCGAGTCAGCGTGACCGCTCGATCTTTCTTTATTATGTGTGAGGGCAAACGTTTGATAACCTGTGAAGATCCGGGTTAGAAATTATACTCAGCAACCTATGCTTGTAAGCATTCCCACTGTAATAATGATTTTTTAAATTGTGATATTTTTTAACATTAATGTGTAGACCCTGCTTGTTTCAAAAGGCGACTAATGGGTTCTTGTGGTCAGGATCGCTGACCTGGTGGACTCATGTCATCTTACTCCCAACTGCCTAGATCGATGCTCATGATGTTGATCACTGGATTGTCCGGTGGTCCAGACTCGATTATTTACAGACCACCGCAATATAGCTGGAATATTGCTGAGTGTGGGCAAATTGTAAATGCAATTACAGCTGCATTATTGGTGTAAAACTGAATGAAACTTTGACCAAACATGGCGCATTTAGTGACAAAAATAATCTTATTGTCAAAGATATTTATGTCATGAATTTGTAATAGACAACAGCAGTGATCAGTGGTAAACCTTTGTCCCTTACTCATACCCGCAGATAAGTGAGTGGTGTTGTTTGGTTGTGGACAGTAACTGAACTGTAACATGGGTTGTAACAATAATCCGTGAAGCCATGGGACATTGACCATAGAGAAGACACAGCACCCGACATCACGAGGGGCCGACCAGTTACGCATTTAGTTTAGATCAACATTGGACGGGGCATTTCAAAATTGGCAATTTGTACTTAGTGATAATATTTATCTTCAAAGAATGATAAACCACTGACAAGATGCACGGTGTATTGAGAATGACCAGACGCCTCTGAATATATACGGGACCAGACATTAGACCTAGCTGTCTCTGATACACATGTCAAAACAGCAACTGTGGACCCTTACACTGCCTTGTCTTGTTCATGCAAAAATATCCCAGAAGACCAGAGGCCCGTGAAGGTCCGGGTTACAATGAGCCTTCAGTAACCCATGCTTGTCGTAAGAGGCGACTAACGGGATCAGGTGCTCAGGCTCACTGACTTGGTTGACACATGTCATCGGTTCCCAAAGGCGCAGATCGATGCGCATGCTGTTGATCACTGGATTGTCTGGTCCAGACTCGATTATTTACAGATCGCAGCCATATAGCTGGAATATTGCTGAATGCGGCGTAGAACTAAACTCACTCACTCACTCACTCACCTGTAGACCACCAACATGATCTAAAGGATACATAGTGATCAGAATTGTATATGGATCACTGACAACCCACGTTCGGCAATCAAACTATCGAAATGGTTGATACCTATACCTACCTTGGAATAAAGTTACACAGAAACGGGAGATTTGTAGAAGCCATTAAAGTCTTAGCTGAAAATGCAACAAAAGCTATGTTCTTATTATTAAAAAAAGCCCGACGAGTCAATCTATCGTTGGACTGTTTAATATCGGCATTTGACACTTTGATTGCTCCGATCCTAATGTACTGCTCTGAAATCTGGGCAATTGAAAACATAAAACTAACTGAAAAGTTTCATTTAAAATTTCTTAAGTTGGCAGCAGGTCTTCGAAGTTCAACACCAAACTATATGATTTATGGAGAACTTGGTAGGGAACCCCTCTACATCAAAATATATAAACGTGCTATTCTATTCTGGCACACAAAATGGCAAGTCATAATGAAACTCCAAAACTAACAAATATTATCTACAGATTTATCACCAGTAATTTCACTGACAACACTGAAAAACTACTATGGACAACGTTCGTTAAGAAAATATTAAATAACTGTGGATTAGGTGATATATTTGACAATCCGTTTATGTGTTCTTCACGGTGGTTAGCTTCAAAAAGTTGAAGAAATATTGAAAGACCAGTTCCTGCAGAACTGGCATAGTTCCATTATTGAAAGCCCGAAAGTGTGTGTACTATAAAATGTATAAAAGAAAATATAAGTTTTGAAAAATACCTTTATCTACCAAAACACGTCTATTACCCAATCTTGAAATTTAGAACAACAAATCACAACTTACCAGTTGAAACTGGACGCTGGTCTGATACCCCAAGAGTGGAACGTTTGTGCCATCTATGCAATTCCCCGGCGGTTGGTGATGAGTTCCACTACCTGTTCAGGTGTGAAGCCCTTCTCCAGCCGCGGTCTATACACATACGTCAAGATCTCTACGAATGGCCTAATATGTTCAAGCTAAAAAAATGTTTATCTGGCTCCAGAGTAAAAAATGTGAAAGACCTGTCTAAATTCATCAACATCATCTTCAGACTAGTTGCAGCTGCATGAGAGTATTGCTAACTTACTTTGTCATATCTCATTGAAAATTTCACTATATATATGTATTTACCTTATATTGCTGTCATCTTGATTGATTATATTATCATATGCGAATTTATATTGTACTTTTCTCATGTACCACCGTTGTTGGGTTCTCTTGAGAATAAACTGTCTGACAACATGTCATCGCAACAAATTGAGCATGTCAACGAGCACCACACGTACATTTTTATCAAAAAGACGAATATCAGCACAATCTGACCACATTATATATGTTACACAGACTATGCTGGTTTGATATTAACCTGTACGTAAAACATAATATGAATTACAAGAATGCTATGTCTAGGCTGAGATGAATGATGAATATACAGGAAAGTACAGGACGAACGAATAAGAAGAATATGGTGTACAGACACACCCTGCGTCAACATTAATACAACGCATGCGTGAAGCCTTCTTCACATTGGGGAAAAGACTGAAATTCGTATACATTGCCCTTGCGTATAGATGGTGTTGACAAAAACCAACGAAGGAAATTAGGTCACATATAGACTGTGCACCGAAGATCACCAAATCGGAGCATCCCTGTCACTGCACGCCATCCGTGCATCATCAGCTGGGGCATCCCCCAGACCACAGTACACATTCGAAAATAATAGTTCCGACAGGCAACACAGAACCATTCCCAAACCCATCTACGTGGAGAACACGTGTTAGATTCAGTACGTATCGATATACATGAACTAGTTGTTTTCATGACAGTATGAAAGAACAAAACAGAAGAGGGCTGCCATCATTCCTAGAACCAAACCGGAGTTTATGTTAATAATATCGGTACCCTGCTCTGCTGTTCACAGATCACTGTCTTGATAAGCTCTGGATTATGGCAAAACCGCACAGAAACCATTTCCACAGACCTCATAGATGTGCAGATGTATGTGGTAATGTTAATATTGTGTCGGATGAGAAAGCCCAAGCACAAGACATCAGCAAACCATACGAATCTCACTTTTGCAGAATGTGGAATGTTCACATTCGATGTTACTGAACTGCGCGGCTATACATATGGCGTGCTGTATATGAACATCTATCATATATGACTGTTGTACATTGTTTGCGCTTTCGTCATTGTCTGTCTGTAAGTACCTATTTTATACACTCTAAAGACAAGGCATTACAATGCACTTTCCTTTGTTGGGGCTATATAAATAAAACCCAGAACAAGACTATAGTACAGACCAGACAGACCTCAAACATTCTTTTCGATTTATAAATTCATGGTCGGAAGAGTGAGTGCGTATGGTTTTACGCCGCTTTTAGCAATATTCCAGCAGTATCACGACGGGGACACCAGAAATTGGCTCCACACATTTTATCCATGTGGGGAATCGAACCCGGGCTTGGCGAAACGCTTTAACCACTGGGCTATCCCACCGCTCCCCGGAAGAAGAATGATAACACAATAATACTAAAGCAAAACACCATTTATTATTATTAACATTTGTCTTCTGTGGTATTTCGATAGCAGCATGAAAATAATAATCGAATCTCAAAACACAAAACTGCGCGCCACAAACTGCCCAGAACTCATTCAAACGTGCCCAATTCGAAATAATTATGGAATATGGCGAATATTCGTTGATATCACTGCAAGGCTTCGTACATTTAGTATCCGTTTGTCTAAAACTAGTTTTGTGACCGTTAATAACCCTCCCATGAATTTCGTCAGAAATGTAACTCGCATTAAGTTTTAAGAGTATTTTACACAGTTGAGATCAATTGTACATGGCTCGTAATACGGTTGGGTAGACAAGCATTAAGAAGCCATGGCTTATTTGGATAATATCCTCAGTTATTTTATGTATACGTATATATCATTTGGTATCGTCCATCTTTAGGCTCAACTCACACACCTGTTCATAAGTAATATTTCCTAGCCCCTCCTCTGAATCTGATTATAGAACAGCCACTATTTGTATGCGTGTTACATTCCAGCTGACAGAAACCTGAGACTGTCCTTAGCGCACGAAGGTCGTTTGTGCACACATCCCGGACGTGTAATTCAGTAGGGGAAAGGTTTGTTGAACTTTGATTTGTATATTTCGTTGAACCGTTCGCTTTGTGCCACTGTAAACCAGTTCCTCCAGCCTCCGGATTTCCCTGAGGGTTAAATATATAGCACACTTTCATTACATACAATCTGTTGGTTTCTTACTCTACATCTGTTTTCCTGACATCTTGAAAGGCGATGGCATTCGTAATGCCATATATATATATGTAAGAAATTATTTAAAATAGAATTTGTGTCTTTAACAGACATTTGATGACTATGTGAAAATCTATTTGAATCTGGTCATTCGGTTATATCCTGATATCCTGGTGGGATAGGCTCTCCTTTTCGAAGACACCTGATAGTGATTCATAAACAATCAAAGCCCACTTCATTCATTAAAACGTACATTTCAATTGTCCGTATAACAACTGAAATCTGAGCTAAAACCGGTCATCAGGAACCCATGATGCATGTTGTGAGAAGCCACTCTCCATGTTGTAAATAGCGACGATCGGAAGTCACGCGGTGGCAAAAGAGTAATCCTTAGCTCGTGAAGCCAGACCCCAAAATCGCTCCCAAAGTTTCTGAAGTTTGTGTCACCCCCTTGGCACGAAGATATTGTCGAAAAACCCTAGATCGGTTACACCCATTTACAGTCATGCATAAGATGAGGTATGTCGACCTCAGTTTGTCAACAACTAGGTAATCACCTTTTCTGAAGTATCCACTAGTTCCCTGTTGCCACTGGAAGTGATAGGTCTGATCCTTGATCTTCTCGTTGGCGTGTTTCAGGTTGCTGAAGGAACACGCCTCTGCTATTTCCACATACGTCTTCTCCGGCAGAGGGCGGTCAAGATATTCAGCCATTCTTCTTATCTCTTTCGAGCAGTTCTTTTAAAATAGAATAGATCTTAGTTCTCATGTGCACTCACATATGACTACATGTGAATAATAGAGAACTCTACTAGGCTGTACCAACAACAGATTACCCTTTTGGTGTCATTTTAGATGATCTAATTGTATGCTCATTGACAGTGTTGCCACATACATAAAGGATTTCCTATCCAGGACACTCAGGCTATTCCCAAACTGATGAGCTCCTAGAGCTGATAAAACCTTCTGGTACAATCACTCGATCTCTGCCAGCATGAAACCTGCAGATGACTATTTCGTGCGGTGTGGACATTTGGAGGTCATCCAAGCCCGAGTGCCAGACGCCAATTTTTAAATTCGTCTTTAAAGGAACATTTTTTTACCTTTAAACGTACACACTTTTCATAGGTATTTGTGCAGTGCATGTTTGTTTATTGGTTTACGTAGCAATGAGAAATATTCCAGCGACGTGTCAGCAAACTCTAAATCAACAAATCTGGGCATTGGTTGATATTTTGAACCACGATCGACGCCTTCTGGGTACAATGACATATCATCAAGTCAGAGATACTAACTATCCTGTTAATAGTCTCGTAAAGACAGCTTATGTATAGCTTTTGAAATGAAAGCAGTATATGTGTTGCTAGGTCTCGTATCGTAGGACGCACCTTTTTCATATCTTCATACTGAACCTGGCAGATGTTGAATTGCTCAGCCGCTTTGTTCCAATCCAGAATATAATCGAAAATCGATCCGAAAACAACTGTAAAGAGAGTTGTATAGCATCAATTATGAGAACAAGTGAAATAGCCGTTAATGCAAGCAGCAAACACTGCTGGGATAAATCTAATCACCGCTGTTCTGTTCTGTTAACAAAATATCTGATTTGAATACAGAATGTGATCAAATACAGCATATGCTATATGGGATTTGACTACATTATTAAAGTCCAGATTCTAGTTTATGTTCCCACGAGTCCCATCCGGGATTGGAACCCACACGCTCCGAGTGAGGCGCCTAATCGCCTTCCACAAAAATGGTAGTCTGACAACTGGCAGTCTTGATCATGTACTTTGCGTTTCATTTGACCACTTAATAGGCATTTTTTTCTATTCATAGCAACGGGAGGCACGCCAAGTAATACCTGTGATAGGGGTGCAATCTGATATGTTTCCATATTATATCACCCATACACCGGGGGATACAAGGAATTGGTTCATGACGAGTCACATAGCTGCGGTGTTGAACCACCCGCGACACATACACACACGCACGCGCGCACAAGCACGCATACACAGGCACACATTCTTAAACCCCATTGCTTTAATGTCAAACTCTGCAATGTCAAGTTCGTCACAGTTCGACGCCATATAGCAGGATTATTCGTGAGTGTGGCGTTAAACAACACGCAAACAAATATTCATCACACATATTTATGTTATTACAGTGAGTCATACCACAACCATCCTGATACAAAGACAGAAAGTCACTCCATGACCCTGTAAAGCAGACCGTGTCTCTGGCGTCATCTGTCCACATCTGGCTGCTCTCCTGACAGAAGCTGGACACAACACAGTCCTTGGGGTTCCTCTGGACAAACACAATCTTGCACCCCAGCTTCCACACCGACTCGGGCAGCTGCCTGTAGACATTACAGTACATACATATATAGACACAGGTCTTCCGCAAATAGAGAAGGGGGTGTTCAATAAAGACTTCACAACTATTGATAGATATATCGTCAAGGAAATATATAGTTTAACAGTGTAAGAAGATAATTTGAAAGGTGAAAGTCATAATATCGCGAGAATCCACCTGGTTGTTGAACGTGACGTATAAGGATAATGCTGACATGGTCGATGTCTGGCAAGCCTGGACTGTGTGCTGGCCATGGGTAGGTGGTTATGTTCTCCAGTTGGAGGTACTCAATAACAATATGAGCCCTGTAGGCATTTGCGTTGTCATCCGGAAACACAAACCACTTCCATGTCGGCGCGCAAATATCACCACGTATGCCTCACAGGATGGCGTCACGGAAGTACCGTGAATAACATACAAAGGTGTTCTGTCAGTACCAGTAATCCTACCCCAAACCATTACTGAACCAATGTATGCAGGTTCCAATTGGAAGCAGATTACAAATCGTCTGTCGACTCGTTCGAACACCTGCAGCTCTCTGAAGCTCATCTTCAATTCGTGAGGCACTTTGACCATGCTCTCATAACACAGTCGTTCTGATAAAACGTTCTTCTATGCCAGTTGTCGCCCTTGGTCGACGTCTTTCTTCAACGTTATTTGCCTTGGTGTCGTGTCTGCGAAGTTACTGTCTGTGCAACTTTTTGAGGTCGTGTGGGAACGCTGTGTCTTGTTTCAACATCCAACAAACAAATTGCACATTGCCCTTCCGGATTTCATAGACGCCGTGTGTCCAAAACAACGTTATATTTTCAACAGGATGAGAACAAATTTCAGGATGGTATCTTTCAGTAAAAGTTACTGAACCATACTGACCCAAATGTTAACGTGTACATTATGAAAAACGCTTGTATGAAATTAGCGTGTTTGCACGAAAATCATAACACGTTGTGAATGGAATAAACATTTTCGTAATCCACAAACAACCATACAACTTGCGTAACACAATATATCAAACCAAAATAGAATATTTCTTCCTTTTGTACTTGTAGACGTAACTGAAAACTCTACAGCAAAAATCAAGACAATGTAGAGCGTAGGGGTACTAAAATAGTGAGTGAGTTCAGTTTTACGCCGCTTTTAGCAATATTCCAGCAATATCACGCGTGGGACATCAGAAATGGGCTTCACAACTTGTACCCAATTAGGTAATCAAACCCGGGCCTTCGGCATGACGAGCGAACGCTTTAACCACTAGGCTAAGGACAGGCAGTACATGGAAGAGGTGATGTATGACTCTGCGTGAATGATATTATAAAATACAATTCGTACCTTGGACGCAGATGTGTGTGGAATATCCTCGGTGATGCCAGTGTCTCCAGTTCTTCCTCCGTCCTGTATTCCAGCCAGGCTGAATTCTGCCAGTGTTTGGTGTACTCGGCCTTGCCTGCCACGATCATGTTGAGGATCTCCCAAGTCCAGTGTGTACCTGGTTGTTCCAAATATTATAATACTATTGTATTTAGGTGTTCCTTGTCACTAAACGTCCTTCTGCATTACACCAAACACTTTAATGTATTATTATTATTATTTATTATTAGTATATGATATTTGTATAGCGCCAATATCCAGCTCAGCTCTGGTGCTTAAAGGCGCTTTGTTTTTCCCTCGATCATAGGATGTCAGTCTGAACGGCACATATTATTTTTCAATCCCAACTCCCTGGGGATCATACAACTGTTGCAGCTGTTTAGACGCACCAAGTTAACGTGTCTTTCCCATCTTTGCGATGACAGTTAGGTGGACTGGGACACATAGTCACAGTACTTTGTCCAAGTCTACTGCAAGTTGCTGTACCCGCAACTAAGTGTTTGCACGGATTCATGTGGCCACCATCTGGTCATATACCAACGGATTCGTGGGTTCTTTTAAGTGCACCGGGTTGTGTACTGTACAATAGGGATTGTGACAACACTGAAAGAGTCTGCACACAAAGTTGACTCCAAGGTTTTTACACCAGGTCAGAGGCGGGCTCGATCCCGACACCTTAAACTGGCTGGTTCACTAGCCTGGCTCCTTACATTCCTCGCCCACCACTTTAGCTGACTGGCTGAGAAGTCCATTCTTTTCATTTACATAAATTGTCATTCCCCCACATATATTTAGCAACGGTGTTACCTGACTTAGGGTATGTGCACAAAAGTATGTCATCTTCCCGGAGGCGAAAAGACTTCATATTTCTTAAGTTGTCTGCGATTAAAGTCATTTCAACAACGCCATCTATATCTGTTAAGCCGTAGGTAAACCCGCCCGCCATTGCTACCTCCGCTGGGGTCGACATTTTGGCAAAATGTGACGAAATGATCGTGGGAAAACAATCTGCAAATATACATTATTAGCACTATAGGTTGAACAAATTAGATAGATAGATAAGGAGCACTATACCCTAAATGAACAAAATCTCAAAAACTATTCCTTATAAATAGGCTCTGCGCAAACCAGTGTGCAATGTGCAATGTGACATGTCAACTTGCATAATAAATGCATCAGTTAGTCATGGTGGTTGAACACATCTAAGATATTGTTTGAAAGAATGCAAGGCTAACTGTTGCAAGATATCGAGAGTGGATCCCAACACAGTCTGAAGATTGGTAAGGACGACGGCGAATAAACTTCATTCTGATGAGTGAGAACGCTTGCAACAAAGTGTCAACATATTTAAGTTGCATCTTCCAAAACAATCAAGACACCACAATGCAGAGAATGAACCTGAAAAAGAATCCCTCGTAGTGAATCTAATAACCTGTGATTTGGTTCCTCCCTAAATATACACTAACAAACTGTGAAGGAATGTGTTATACATGTATCTGTGCAATCAACTTTATCCATGTCAATCATGCATAAAACCGGAAACCCGTACAAGAACAAAACTGTGATGAGGGTAACTTGGAACAATGTATGTACTGTGACCAGAATCCATGTCTATAATACGACCAGGAATATGTTGTTTTTTTATTTAGTGTGCCAGGGGACAAAGGGTGTAATGTAACAGTCTCTTATGGTCAGAAACAGAATACCAACTGAACAATTATTCAACTTCGAATCAAAACATTTCTTAATCGGTCTATGCTCGTTGCAACCGGCGGGATCCGATAGCCAGGCCGGATGACCTCGTCAATGCATGTAAAAAGAACGTTATACGCATGAATTCTGTTCAATAATATTATGCTATATAACACAGATAAAGTATTGTGAGGCAGTGTTTGGTTTGTATTGCTCACTAGATTTTTCCTGTACTTGACTCAATTGGTCATACTCAATGCAAAAAGGGCGTGTTAGATTCGCCTTCAAGTCTACAAAGAGGACGTTGTACTTACCCTTGAACAGCTAGATAAGAGATCGTCCTATGCAGTTGGTGCGGTTCTGTCTAGTTTAACAGTGTCATCGTCCCGATAGCATTCCTGGCCTGAGTGTCATGGTGACATCAGATATGTCGGTCACAAGATTACATGTGCAAACACACCCTCACCGAGTGTGCATCAGGCACACCACATAACATATGTGACAAGATTTTCGACAGCCTTGAGTTATTCGTACTGAAACAAGCAATAACAACTGTTTATACTTCAAGGAAAGATTCGTTGACCTGTACAAGGGTTTTAAGACTTGATCATGTACCCGGGGCTGGTTTCGCTGCAATTTGACATGACCATGAGTGTCACTTTTTAATGTTAGGCAGACATAGAGTAGATAAAGTATTACACTGATTCGCCTCAAGTGAATGATCATTTTGCGTTTACAAATATTCCAAAATACTGACGAAACAGCAACAAATGATTTCGCTGCTTTCTTTTTGGCGAACCAGTTTGTTTTCTGACCTTATGTTTCCATAAACGGAACTGTACTATGGTATTTTGTTGGCTTATAATAAACTGGGCGGGTGTGTTTCCGATGGTGTCAACTGTGATGTAGTTGTCAAGACGTGCATGTATTTTCAAAGAACAAAGCAGTTTTTTTTTGTAGATGGTGTCTCCGCTTAGTAATGTCGTTTTAAATCCAAACCATTTAATGTACACTGGTAAGCAGATATTTCTAATTGGCAGGTACTGCATACTTGAGCTTTGTTTAAATACCCAAGTCCATCTTATTTATGTACCAAGGAAAAAACCCCGTGAAAGTGCCTCATATGTTTCATATTTAGATGTTTCAGTGTGGCATAAACACTAACCAACACTGAATGACCAAGGACAGAACGTCAGCGTTATAACGGTCGACGTTCCCGCTATCTCGTACAATATTCCAGCATCTCTAACTCTTGAGGGACATTGGAACAGTTCAAAGACCTCGTCCAGTTCTTGTTCAAAAGTATTTTACCAGTGCCTCAGTGAACATTTTCTGAATTAAGACATAAGTGGCTTGAACTATCACTAGTACAATTCGATCTTTGTCACACTATCGTTTAGAATGAACACACAAACGAAACGTTTTTTTAAATTCACAGTATAACGTCTTCACAGAATATTATCAGCCATTGTCACTCTACAAACTAACACTATACGTCATCACACCAACCATAGTATGACGTTTACCATACTCACAGCACACAAAATGGTAGAAAACAGTTCCAGGTCTACCAGTTTCACATCTTCCTTCAGCCTTGTTTATATCACATGCACCGAAAACAATGCACGGTCAATCCATCATAGAGAAATTTACAACAGTGATAACGCCTTACCTGTGATTACATCTACGGATTCAATGTCTCTGTTAATATCTTACCTACGCATTTCAACTCCAAGTAATATTACTAGGGCCATTTTTGTTTTAAAAATGTTATACATAGAAATATATACGGCTTTCAATATACCAGGGACTGTTTATTTTCTGAAGTGATATCCTTGGCGCATATTTATTCCAGATCATGGGTAATGCCTGTTTTCGTCTCAATTCCGTTGTTGTTTTGAATTTATAGGTCATCTTTGATGGCATTACTATCCATAAGTTCATGGAGAAACGCCTAGTGCCTCTTACTTCTTTTACTGACAGTTGATTGTTGGTTCATATATTAAAGAGTATCATTAATATATCGAAACAGAAATCACTATAACATATACCGTACAGATTAATAAGCCACCGAAACGATTTATGATAAGATTTTATGAACAATTATCACCAATACATACAGTTCACTTTAAGGTAAAAATAAATAAGACACCGATTTTCGAATTCATTTTGCCAGTTACATCAGTGTGAAAAAAGACAGTTCTCTAACTTAGATACATTCCCAAATGGAAAGGATAGACGGAACAACGGACACACAATCTCTGTTCTTGTATACAGTATCCTCAGTCCCACCGGGTACACAACTCTCAAAGCTGAGTTCTCTATAGAATCCTCATGAGTGCTTATGAATCCCAAACAAAAGTGCCCATGAATCGTATCACGTTGCCACAAACTCCTCGTATAAAGAGCCCATTAAATATAGACCCGTGAAGATCCGGGTTAGAATTGATCTTCAGCAACCCATGCTTGTCGTAAGAGGCGACAAATGGGAATCGGGTGCTTAGGCTCGCTGACTTGGTTGGCACATGTCATCGTATCACAATTGTGTAGATCGATGTTCCTTCTGTTAACGGATTGTCGGATTAAACAATAAACCAACAAACAAACAACATTAAATATAGTAAACATGTGACATTCACCTGTATGTGAACTGTTCTATTTAATGAAATAATCTCCTTAAAAAAAGGAAAATGACGATATTTAATACATCTAGAAAAACTAATTGTATGTGCTTAAGTCTTCATCCAGAAAATACTGACAATGGCAAGCATGTACACACACATAAATCAATACTTACAGCCACATTGTAACGTGGAAGTAACCTAAACAATTGAAAGAACTCGGGTCTCTTGTAAAAAGGTATATGGTGACTAAAACGACTGACGGCTACACAAACTTCAAACATTTAAAAATACAATTGCAAAGATATGAGAAAACACCGCACTGCTTCATGCAGAAATGAATACAGATCCGCAGGTCAATGACGTAATAAAGTAATTAGAAACATATATAAATATTGATCCAGTTTACGACACACCGTTTAGGTGTCCTATGCATATCATTTGTGAATCCAGCTTTAGCAAAGTACTTTGAAAAATTCCCATTTCTTAAATCCATAAGGGATAATATGGACTACAGTATATTGGCTGTGTCACAGAGTGAGTAAAGGGCGCTCTGTTTTGCACTCTCATTATTGCTCATGAATGAAATAAAACGACAACCTTTTATAAAAATAAAACAAATTCAAGTTCATGACTGGAGTCCAGCATTCCTGCGGCAGAATCCGTCCTCGATATCAATACTAGTGCTGGTATTGGCATGCAACCTGTAATACGACACATCATGATTCTAAAATTTTAGTCACGAGGATATATTGCCAAAGTATTGCTCATTGGAGCTGCGATACGATACGAATCCCTACATAACGGTGGCAATACGATACGTATCGCGATACTAAAATCTTTAATTCTAGCACCAACTATAAAACACCTTAAAATCAAAACAAAACAATGTTTAAATGAAAGACATCACAATTTGAAAACTAGTCACATTAGGCAATTTCTATAAAAACAAGTACAAAATAAATAAATGAGTGAGTTAAGATTTAAAGTCACATCAGCAATATTTCAGCCATATCGTGACTAAAAACAAGTTATAATTTCAAAATAAATAAAGCTAAATTATAAAACCCTGTCAACGAAGTACAGTAAAATATAGATTTCACAAAATAATGAAAACTTAGTACTGTTATAAACAGATAACACAGATCGAAATCATCTTTAATATATGTATGTTGATGGATGCTGTCACTGCAGTCACATAATAGAATGAAATCTGTGCTGATTTTATAAACGGTATATCATATATGTCGCTATATAGAGGAGTGACATAATCGCCACACCGACAGATACAGAAATATGATTGCATGTTATGGTGTTAGCATTGTATTTGTGACAACATATGATATACACATGAGTGTGAATCATATATCATTTCAGCTATTAGCGATTGTCCAACGTACGATTCCGACTACAGTACGAGCATGTGCCGATGTATAGTGAGTGGGTGGTGGAGCACTTACTGGTGAAGGCGTTCGTTCATCTCTCCAACGTCCTGGGTTCGATTCCCCACATGGATAGAATGTGCGAAGCCTGTTTTTGGACTGTTGTTCAAACTGTTTAAAACCATACTCACTCGCCATCAATAGTGACGGATAACGATTTTGCAGAATGGTGCACGTGTCCTGCCCCACTACCATACAGGAGACAAGCACATGCAACAGATATTCACCTAAAATGCACCGAAACATATGACACAAGTAAAAATATACCATTCCATTCGCTATGTATATGGTAGTCATAACGTACGAAACGTAATCGATTTATACTGCTCAATGTACCTGTTACATTTCCCCACACACACACACTCATACACAAACACGCGCAAATCTAACGACACGAAACAACCACACACACACACACTCACACAGGGAGAGCGGGGAGGGAGAGAATGAGAGAGAGATGGGGAGTGGGAGAGAAAGAGAGCATGAGAGGAGGGAAGGAGGGAGAGTGAGAATGAGAGAGAGAGGGAGTGGAGAGAAAGAGAGGATGGAGGGAAGGAGGCAGAGAGAGAATCAGAGAGAGGGGGAGTGGAGAGAAAGAGGGAATCTGAGGAGGGAAGGAGGGAGAGAGAATGAGAGAGAGAGGGAGTGGAGAGAAAGAGAGAATCAGAGGAGGGAAGGAGGGAGAGAGAATGAGAGAGAGAGTGGAGAGAAAGAGAGAATCAGAGGAGGGAAGGAGGCAGAGAGAGAGAGAGGGAGTGGAGAGAAAGAGAGAATCAGAGGAGGAAAGGAGGGAGAGAGAGAATGAGAGAGAGGGTGAGGGAGAGAGAGAGGGAGAGTGAGTGAGAGATAGAGTACGGGAGACTGACTGACTGAGTTTGGTTTTACGCCGATTTTAGCAATATTCCAGCAACATCACGGCGGGGGACACCAGAAATGGGCAGAGAACGGGAGAGGGAGAGAGAGGGAGGGAGAGAATGAGAGAGAGAGGGAGTGGAGAAAAAGAGAGAATCAGAGGAGGGAAGGAGGAAGAGAGAGAATGAGAGAGAGAGAGGGAGTGGAGAGAAAGAGAGAATCAGAGGAGGGAAGGAGGGAGAGAGAATGAGAGAGGGTGAGGGAGAGAGAGAGAATGAGGGAGAGAGAGAGAGAGAGCGGAAGTGAGTGAGAGATAGAGAACGGGAGACTGACTGACTGAGTTTGGTTTTACGCCGCTTTTAGCAATATTCCAGCAACATCACGGCGGGGAACACCAGAAATGGGCAGAGAACGGGAGAGGTAGAGAGAGGTAGAGAGAGGGAGGGAGAGAATGAGAGAGAGGGGGAGAGAATGAG